AAAAAAAAAAAAAAAAAAAAAAAAAAAAAAAAAAAAAAAAAAAAAAAAAAAAAAAAAAAAAAAAAAAAAAAAAAACGCTGATGGTTTTCAATACTTTAACGTATTGGGCTATCTTAGAGGTGTTCCGAAGGCGCTTCGACTTGATAGTCGACCCATTCCATTGTAGCATGCGACTTAGGGGGGGGATGTCCCTAGCGATTTGGCCTTCTTGCGATCCCAAGACGAAGCCAGCGATTTCCAGATCTCAATTTTTCTGCCATTGTCATCTGGATTTATGTTGCGGCTGGCCAGGGGACTGCGCACTGTCGATCTTTATGTTATGCTGCCTGTTTGCGTTTCGCCTGCAGCAGGGGCTCTCTGGAGGTGTCCCAGGGGGAGGCGCCGTGCGAGGCGGGGCCAGAGGCCTCTGGGAACTGAGGGGGCAAGAGAAGGCCCAGAGGATGAGGTTGAGGTTGAGGTTAAGCGGGGTTCTCGCTTAAGCTCCACTTCAGGTCCACTGCCTTGGTTGTTGACAAAGCCTGTTCGGAGGTTCAGTCCGGTGTTACTTATGTGTTGAGAGGGCGGGTGGGAGTGAGCTACACGGCTTGCTCCTTCTAGGTGTCTTGACCCCTCCCCTACCCCCTCCCCTGGACCTTCCGCGGGAAGTTGGAGCGTCCAAAACGGCCTCGGCGAGGAAGCCAAAATCACTGGTTTTACTAAGGTTTTGGCCCCATTTTGACCTCCTGGAGGGGAGGCCGTAGTTAAGGAACCCCCCTTCTTTGATCGATCTCCTCCGAGATGGCCCCAAGAGCGCTCCCAAGGCTCCCAAGGGTGCCCCAAGAGGGCCCCAAGTGGTGGCCAGGAGGCCCCACGAGGCCCACAAGAGGCCCCCAGGATGCCCCCAAGAGGCCCCCAAGAGACCCCCAAGAGGCCCCAAGAGGCCCCCCAGAGGCACCCAAGACGCTCCAAGAGGCCTCGGCGAGAATGCCAAAATCACTAATTTGACTAAGGTTTTGGTCACATTTTGGCCTCCAGGGTGGGGGGGGCACTGGTTAAGATGATTCCAAAAGCGCCTGGGAGAGCCCAAGATGACCTCCAAGATGGCTCAAGATATCTTAAGATGCCTCAAGATGGCTCCCACGATGCTCCAAGAGGCCCCGAGCACGCTCTAAGACGGCTCCAAGTGGCCAAAGAGCTCCCCCAGGAGGCCCCGAAGAGGCCAAAATCCTTCCAGAACCTCAGGAAAACCAATGTTTTTGTTCGCTTCCGATGGCCATCCGAGGCCTCAAGATGGCTCCAAGATGGCCCAAGAGGGCTCCAAGAGAGGCTTAAGAGAGCCCCAAGACGGCCCCAAGAGCGCCCAAGAGCGCCCCAAGAGGCGACTTTTTGGGCTCCCGAGGGGCAACGCTAATTAATGCTCCCCTCTTGCTTGATCGATGTCCTCCAAGATGGCCCCGACTCCCAAGAGCACTTCAAGAGGGCCCCAAGAGGCGCCCAGGAGGCCCCAGGAGGCCCCAACAGGCGCCCAAGAGGCCTCCAAGAGGCTCCCAAGAGACCCCCAAGAGGCCCCAAGAAGCTCTCCGAGGCACCCAAGACGCTCAAGAGGCCTCCACTGGGGGACCCTTTCTGTGTGCTGCCCACTTCCCTGATCGAGGCAATTCCTCTGGGTATCGTTTCTGGATGGGCTGGTGGGGTTCCACGAAGCGTCTAGAATGTTTCGATTGGGAAGTCTAATCTAGAAGCTGAAGCCGGAACCCAGAATCTGGAAATCTGAATTCCGAAGTCCAAACTTCCGAAATCCGACATCCGAATTCGACCTCTTCATCTGGACTCTCCAGATCGCCACTCAGAAAACGGGTGCAGTGGTGTGACCCCTTGTCCTGGCGATGAGAATGGGCCCACCGAGCTCGGCGCCCAGTGTCCACCGCCGGATCATGAGCAGCATGATGCAGGAGACGGCGCAGCCGCAGAAAACGGCGACGCTGGGACCGAGCGAACCTGACGAAACAAAACTTGTATAAATAATTCGCGATCCCTTCCGAAGGCCACATGACGAGTGAGTCCTTTCCCCACTTGGCTGCCACATCCACTGGCCCCTTTCCCACCCCAGGGAGTGCAAGATCCTTCCCACCCCAGGGAGTCCCCTCCCCCACAAGCCCCAAACCGCAGTTTTGAGGTTGGCCACATGCCCTCCAGTCCCTAATCATCCCTCCTCGCAAAGACGCCCCAGGAGGCGCCATCATGACGGCCCTAGGCGATTCCAAGACGATGCACGACGCCTCAGCAGGACCCAAGCCAAACTGCAATTGGAAATGTACGGGAGGTCCCGCACAGAGAAGCCCCCCTGATGCCCGACGGTGGCCCCACGGTGGCACCAACAGACCCCATGAGACGTTAAGACGGCGTCCCGCAAAAACCCGAAAGATCACGAATCTAAGAATCCCCACAGCTCTGAACTGGCTGCTGCTTTCACCTCTTTTCAGGTCCAGAGGACCCCATGGGGCACTCCGAAAGGTGGGAAGACAAAACGAAGAGCCTAAGTGAGCGAGCAACGACATGTGTACATGTGCGCCCTCCGCGGTATTGCGTGCACGAACCTCCGCGTTCAAACGCGATTCGGCGGAAACAAACCGCGTACATGTACATATGTTGTTGCCCTCTGACTAAGAGTGTCTGCAGAGGGCCCCACGACGGCCCCGAACAGCCCCCGAGAGGGCCCCGAGGCAGCCCCAAGAGGGTGCCCAGAGCGCCCCGAGACACCCGCAGAAGGCGCCCGAGGCGTCCAGGAGGCCCGAGATGGCCGGAGAGAGCCCCGACGGCCCGACAACGCCAACCCAAAAAAAAGATCGCAGCCCCAAGAGAAGAGAGGAGGAGGCGGGAGGAGGCGGGAGGAGGCGGGAAGGAAGGAAGGAAGGTGGAGACCGCAGTGCTCTATTCAAAACGAGTACCCAACGCAAGAGGGTTGGGAAAAAGATCCCGATATGGTCCCGGGTTGCGCTCAGGCAGTCCACCCTCTCGCAACGGGACTCGACAGACGTGCTGCGCTGTGCCCACCGGCGACCTGCGTCCACCCGGAACTCGTCGTCGTTGGCCTCCCAGTAGCATGCTGCTATGGTCCAGGACAGCCCCAGGCCGAGAAAGACGTTGACAGAGTTGCTGCCAGTGACGTTGCCAATGCTGTTATCGGCCGTGGGATCCTGCACGGCAGCCATCTTGGACGCAAACGTGTCGGGCAACGAGGTGCCGAGCGCCACGAACGTGATCGCGCAGATCTCGGGCGGGATGTCGAGAGCGCAGCCCAGCAAGTTCGCCAAGTCACCAGTGGAGCGGGAGGAGTTCCCCGGGGAGACGGGGTTGGAGAAGAGAGGGGGAAGAGAGCAAGGGGTCGGATGGGATTACCCGTCGGTCATCAGGTATTGTTGGATGCCCAAGTCCCAATCTACTTTCACCGCCTTCCTGCTTCAAGAGTCGGGTGGTCTTCCCTCTTCCCTCCTCTTCTGGGGACGGACGGAAGCCCAATCTACTTTCAACGACTTCCTACTTCATGCTTCTACCCACTTATTCCGACCGACGGGTACCGAGGGAAAGAGTGGGAAGGGGTCAGGAAGCAAGGGATACCAAGGAAGAAAAAGGGAGGCCCCTCCCATCACCGATGAGGGCGGTGCAGATCCCGATCATGAAGAGCGCGCACACAAAGCACAGCTTCCCCCCGCAGAAGTCGGGCGGAGGCACAATAGCGAACAGCACCTTTCGACGAAAAAGAAAAACATGCCAGGACTCCTTATAACCGAAAGTACATCGGTAGAAACTGCGTTACACTTGTGGCACCATAAGGTGTCATCTGGTTATGTGTGATGCCACGCGGTGACAAAGCCCAAACTCTCATCAAGTGGTGCCGCGTGGTGCTGAGTACCACCAGAGGCTCGTGCGGTGAGGGGGGGTGCCAACTGGTTGTGTGTTAACCGAAACCTTACCAATTACCCACGCGAAAGAAACAACCATATGCAGTTGTGAGCACCGCACATGAGAATATCCCCTTGAGTGAAGCTTCCCATGGGGCCATGACAGGTGTGAGAGGTGCTCCGAAATAGGCCTGGTGGCACATTCGGGCCCTGCTCAAGGGGGCTGCAGTGGAGCTCCCTATGGAGTCACACGACACGTGTGAGAGGTGTGCCGAAACGGGCCTGAGGACGCATGCGAGCCGTGCCACTGGCCACTGGGGCCGTCGGTGGAACCCCCATATGGAGCCACGAAACGTGTAAGGTGTATGCCGAGATTGGTGGGGAACCGCATGCGAGACCCCCCGCCCCCCTTATGGGCTTCGGTGGAGCTCCCTATGGGGCCACGAAACGTGCGAAAATGTGCCGAAATGGGTGGGGAACCGCATGCAACCCCACCCCCACGAGGGCTTCTGTGGAGCTCCGTGTGGGGTCACGAAACGCGTAAGGGGGGGTGAGAAAATGGGCGGAGAACCGCATGCGAAGCCCTCCTCCTGTGGGTTTCTGTGGAGCTCCATGTGGGGCCACGAAACATGTAAGGAATGTATGTGCTGGAGTCGGTGGAGAACCGCATGCGAAACCCCTTACATGAAGGCTTCGGTGGAACCCGTGAGGGGTGTGCCAAAATGGGTGGGGAACCACAAGCGAAACCCCCCGACCTGAAGGATTCGATGGAGCTCCTGTGGGGCCACGAAACGTGCGGCGGGCGTACCAAAATGGGCTGGGAACTGCATGCGACCCTTCGGTGGAGCTATATATGGGGCCACGAAACGTGCGAGTGTGTGCCGACATGGGTCGGGAACCGCATGCGAGGACGGCCGCTGAGGCCTCAGGTGGAGCTCCCTATGGAGCCAAGCAGCGTGAGAGAGGTGTTCCGAAATGGGCGGGGAACCACATGCGAGGACGGCCAGTGGAGCTCCCCATGGGGCCACGAAACGTCTCAGGGTACGCCGAAATGGGCCGGAAATGTGTGCAGGATTCGCAGTCGAGAACGGTAACGAGGAAGATGAGGATGATGGTGATGGTGATGACGATGGCTGTATGGACATGCGGAAGGCGGAGGCAGGGGTGAGAGGAGCGAGGAGCGGGAGGAGGAAGGAGGGAGGAATGAGTGACGCGGGGCGCTGTCTCCTCGAAGCGAAGACCCAACGCCACAGATGGTTGGGGGAAAACATGACTGCCCATGTCGGGCAGAAGTCGACAATTCTCTGTCGCTACATGATGTTGATTACGAACCACGCCTACATCGCAGGGCGGGTGAGTGGCTGGGACGGGGCATGCCCCTCCTTGAAAAAAATTGTGCTCCGATGTATGGCCGCCGCGATCGTCGCGGCGACCTCCAAAACCACCCTAGAAGTGGTTCGGGGTCGGATATCACGCAACGACCAAACCCCACTCTCGCACCCGCCTCACGCGAGGTGCCGTGTGGTGCTGGGCCCCAAGCTCTGGGACCTGCTGCCCATGCTGACCTGCGTGGTGCCGTACAAAGCCGTCCCCACGTCTCGAATCAAATGCGTTGCCCCTGTGGCGCAGACTGGTGCCGAGATCGTGTGGCGCCGAGGCCCCAACTCTCGGGTCTGCCTCGCGTGGTCCCGCATCCTCACCTCTCGGGGTGGTGCCGCGTGGCGACGTGTGGCGCATGCAGTCCACGGCCCCCCCAAATGCACGAAATGCCATGCTGTGCTGTCTGGGAGCCAGCTTCCAACTCCCGCGTCCGCTGCCCGCGTGGTGCCGTGCGCTGCCGTGGCGCCATTCATGCCCGCCGCCCCGAGACCGCTCGCCCGCATGGTGTCAGATGGTGTCACGTGGTATTGTTTCGTGGCGCGCGGCGCCCGCCGTGCCCCCGAGTCTCGGATCCGTCGCCCGCGCGGCGCAACGTGGCGCCGCACCCGAATAGCGGACCCGTCGAATGCTGGTGCCGCGCGCCCCCCGATGCCGAAAACGGCCGAGAACGTCCCGTCATGTTGTGTGCATGGCAAGAGGAAGCGGGGGCGCCCCCGGTCCGCCAGGCCAACCTCGTGCCACGAACGATCGTGAACGCACGCCTTCCGTTCAAACCTGAGTCCCGCGGACGAGGGCGCGCGCGCAGCGGAGGGAGCGGGAGGCAACGGAGGCCCTCCCGTCCGCCTGCACTCCCGCCCAGCTCCATCCCTTGTCCTGCCCTCCCCCGCCACCCCTGCACTGCGGGCGAAGGGGGAGCGGCGAGGAGGGCCGAGAGGGGAGACGAGAAGAGGAAAGCGGAGGAGGAGGACTGTGAAAGCGAGGGGTAAAATATACAGATGTTTCTGTTTTGTTTGCGAAAATATGTGCACGTTCAAACGAGTATATATGTGCTCGGTCGGTTACACCACGCAAGCCGTGCCGTAACCAACGAAGCCTCATAAACAGTTGCGGCGGGACAAATACGCCTGGTTTCGGCACGCTCCGGGAGTTGCTGGACTTCGCGGCACCCCAAGGCACCTTGGCTCCCCAAAACGCCAACCCATGATAGTTTCTAGGGCACTCGTGGGAAGCCAAATACTCCTGGCAGGGCTCCTAAAGCATCCCGCGATAGGAAGCAAGAACTTACAGGGGCCTACTACTGACCAAGCCCCTCATCACCATTACAAGAGGAACGAGGAGGCAGACAATTCGAAGACCACAGTAAGATGACGACAACACGCGGGCCAATATATGCTGTTTCACGATCACGGTCCATGGCGACAGCCCTTCAATTGCTCGACTCACTAAGTCGCATGTGCAAACATAATTCGCAATATGCGGGCACACTCTCATATGTCCTGATATGTTGTATTCGCGAACATAGTTCACGCTATGCGGCTGTCCTTGCCTTCCCCGACGTTGCAATCATGCGAACACTCATGCCGCATTCATCTGTCAACGCCCCCCAATGATCAATGTTAGCGGTGGCTTGAATGAGCCGCACTTCGACGCAGTCTTCCCCGCGCGCGACAACTTCGAGTTTGGGGGACTAGTGGCCACCGCGCGACAGCTGATGCGGCGGACCGAACAGCAACGGCCGAGCCGGCGGACCGAAAAGTGACAACGACAGCTGATGCCGCGGACCGAGAAGCACCGGCGGAGCGGATTCCACGGGGGCGCGGTAAACTGCATTGAAATTTCCGGCTTGTCATCCCGTCGGTTCAACGGTCACCTCAGACATGGCCGACAACGCCGACGGAGATCATCCCTCAGCGGCGCTGGCATCGTTCACAGGAGCGCCGATGACACAGTCATGGAACACCCCATTTGGTTCCTGCCCAGTGTCTGTTGCCATTAGCATCTCGTCACCCATGATACACTGAATGATGCGAGCGTCCAACAACTGCTCGCCGAAGAGCGCGCGGGCGTCGGCCTTGACGCCGCCCGAATGCATCTTCTAATTGTCACCAAGACTCTGAGGGCACCACCAGATGACCCGGCTGCGGGCGCAGCTCAGCCAACCGCCCACAGATGCCCGGTCGCTCAGGGTACACACGGCACGAAAGTCCATCAGCTCGAAACATCTGTGAGATAGATGGCGCAGAGCTTCGAGGATGTCTGGGCGTCGCCGCGACTGCGCGGTCATCTGCGCGCCCCCCACGTCCTCCAGTGGCCGAAGGTCCCGGTACTGGAGCATGGTGCGACGTGCTCCACGAAGTCCCCCACTCGGTCCCTGGCCAGACCAGCTCTAGCAAAGCTGGCGCCCACGTCGTCGAAGACGGCGCCGATGAAGGGCCAGACGCCCTGCAAGATGCACATCACGTCGGCTCTGCGGTACTTGACCGTTACCTTGCCTCGAGCAGGGTCGACAGACATGCCAGTCCCAGGGCCAGCCCAGCCTGACGCGTCCTCTGTGCTCGGAGGACTGTGGACCTCCACCTCGTCGCCAACGTGGAAGCAAGCGAATCCGGAGGGCGCGGTTGACGCGGGAGATAGGAGCAGCCTCAATCATGCGTTGCAATGCGATCTCTCTGGCTCGCAACAGCAGTCGGTCCAGGTGCTTTTCCCCGCCAGCAGGGGGATCGGCACCAGCTGCTAAGTCGCCAGAAACTTCACCCGATTCGCCTACTTCCAGCGGCGGCAGCAAAGCCAGCCGCCTCCCGACAACCACGTTGCACGGCGTGACTCCGCCAAGGCAGGCGAGGCCGTTGCCGGCGAACGAGGC